AGATGTGCTCCATTTGGATCCTTCATGTTTTCATTGTCTAATGAAGACTGGCCTTTCTCTCTAGTCTGTCTTAATCTGGACGCTCTAATGAAATCTGTTTGCTCTGAAGGACTCTGCTGGCATGTGACATACCAGAAACCAGTCTCCCACCCAGGTCCCGCCCGGAGTGGCCACATGCGACACTGGCCAGTGAGGGGCTGGAGAATGTACTTGCCTGTAAATCTTGCTTCTCAAGCCGCTTCCTGCTCCAGTGTGCCCGCCGGAGGCAGTCAGGGGACAGCTGTGTGAGCATTGCCAGCTGAGAAGGCTTGGCCCACTGTCCACACCGCTGTAGGTCCCTCGAGACCTGCGCTTGTGAGGTGGTCAGGTTAGGGTCACGAGGGCAGATGGTCAGACTATGGGCACATGTGCTCTGTGCTAAGCATCTGGTCTTGCCACATGGGGGGCCCTGAGTGGCACCGAGGGTCAACATGCTCGGCTGCCCATTGGAAGACTGGCGGCTTGTGTCCACCCAAAGGCCCCTTGCCGGAAAGTCCTGTTAATCAACTTCTGATAGATCAGCCTCTGATGGCCCCCCTCCCAGGAGGGGCAGGGCAGTTCTACCCGAACACTCTCAGGGCCTCATGAACAGCAGGGCCCCCACACGCCGACCCGTCCCTACCCACCTGTGCACCCTCACACCTGGCCCAGATGAAGTGACCAGAGCCTGGCAGGGGGGGGGGGGCAGGGGGGTGCTCTCCCTGTTGGTTTTCTTCTTTTTTATGAGTCAGTTTACTGGGGGCTCATACAGCTCTTATAATCATCCATACATCAATCGGATCAGGCACATTTGTGCTGTGTTGCCATCATCGTTTTCAAATCATGTTCTTTCTACTTGAGCCCTTGGTATCAGCTCCTTTCCCCCCCTCCCTTCCCCACCCTCCCACCCTCATGACTCCTGGATAGATTATAAATTATTATTGTTCTCATATCTTGCACTGTCCGTCATTCTAATGTCACCTCCGGAGTCCCCAAGGAGGCTCCTTGTCACCGTCTGCCATTCCAGGTGAGGGTCACATGGTGAGGGATGGGCCTCACGATGGTGGCGGGGGTCTTCCTTGGGGGCTGCTCTGAGGCCTCCCTGGAGGCCTAGCTTTTGAGGGAGACAGATGTGGCTCTAATCTGATTCTGAACACCGAGCCTGAGCAGCTGGGTCTCCGGCTGCACCTGTCCTCACGATGACCTCACCTGGGCTTCTCGTTAAGTTGATTAGTCTCCTAGCGACCCTCTGGGACAAGGTCGAACCGCCCCGCTTGCGTGTTCCCAAGGCTGGAAATCCGTACAGGCGCAGACGGCCTCACCGTTCTCCCCTGGAACCGCTGGTTGGTTCAAACTGCTGCTGGCTTTGTGTCGTCCCCTTGGCCCCAGGGCTCCTGGTCCTGTTCCAGTTCCAAGGAGACAGGGGACAAGGCAGACGTGAGATGCAGGCATCAAAGAGGAGCAGGCCATGTGTCCATCGCTCATGTCCCCACGGCCTGCACCAATAGCCATGTGCAGCCCCCTGGC